CTATTCTATAACCTGGTCATTAGTGTTACTTGCCTTGGAAGCAGGAGAGGTGAGTTCAAATATCCTCAGGGTGAGAAAAGCCTAGAACTCAGGTCTCCTACTTCCTGGTTGAATGCACTAACCACTAGACTATTGGTCACTTCAAGGGATAAGAACCTACCCAAACCCTTCAGTTTACACAGAACCAGTCCTGCAGCTACAGCACATAGTCCCTACTTTTCATATCTGTTCTTTATTAATAAGAACATTTGCTAAAAGACAGGATCTCTTGCTCTCATTTAGCAGCTCATTAGCACCCGCTGCTTATTCCAACCTGGAGCCAAAATACTCTGTGTGTGGTTACAGATTAATTTCTCAGTATCATCCAGCTATGAAATCACAAGAGAGACTCCTGCTTTCAGCAAGAAAACACCAGCAAGAGCAAATGAATTTCTCATCAACAAAAATCCAGATTCTGTCTCCCTGAAAATAGTCTGAGGAAGAATGGCAGAGAAAGCACTAAAATTATACAGGCTAGAGCTGGAATTATTTCCAAAGTTTTCTATAACACATCAATTACTCTATATGTTATTCCAGCGCCTACAGCAGTAGGGACTTTAGAATAGTTAATGGTCAATGCTAGGTCTTCTGCAAATGAACATAGTCAGACACAGCTGTAGTCAGCTGTGATCTAGGTTTATAACTAAAGGCCTCATCTCTTTTTCAGATTTATCTTCCACTGTTCTGTTAAAGGGATATTAGTTAATCTCAGATAATGGGAATTGACTGGGAAATTACTCAAGTGTTCTGAGTGGCTACCACAAGATGCATGATGCTCTAGGGATGTCCTCTGTGTACTACTTGCAATCTACTCCATATATCCCTCTTTATTCATTTCCATCTTATAAAACATTTGTGGAGGGCATTTTCATGGGACTAACGACTGGGAATTATTACTGCTTAGTTTGCCACCAATATATGCAGCTCATCAAGAAAAGAGAGAATTTATTTTCCAATCTAACCCAATGGGAGATGCTTCTGTTCCAAGCTACCTATTCTTCCATATCCTTCCCTCAATACACATAACAACCACAACAGCTGTAAATGGCACTGGAAAACTTCTAATCGCAAGACAAGTCTTATTCTTTTAACAATACTGTGGCTGAGGGTGTCTCTGGTATTGTTTCTGAAGGGTGTCCACAATTCCACATGGGTGTAGCAGCCTCCTAAGCCAAGTAGAAGAATATCTTACCCCAGGAGTCACTCTGAGTTATGCTGGTACAGCAAAATATAGTGATATAACCCAACTTCTAGTACTATTTGTCTTTGCCAGTTTAGGCTCATGGGACTTTGCCAACTCTAGGTCAGTACAGAATAACAGTAATTCAGGTGCTTTTCAGACAGAATTAATGGTGCTTAAGGAAAAGCATGTGGTCACATATATGTGTGCCAATGAGAGTGTGCAAGCGGCTGAAGCTCTCAGCAGGCAAAGATGCCCATGTGTTTTGCTAGTGACAGTGAGCTTTCAGACAAGCCACAACTAAAGCTTAGAGTCCTGATTCCAAGCTGAGGTTTTCTTCCCCCATTCATCATGGGGAAAATAAAGTTTAGTCTTAGACTCAAGTCCTGCAGGCAGCGCTGGGTTCTGTCCTGTTCTCTGGCTCAGGGCTGATTCCCTCGCTGCTCTCTGGCTCACTGCTGAGAGGGAGAGGCAGGGGAATCAGCCCAAAGCCAGAAAGCAGCCCAAGACCTAGCACAGAGCCAGAGAGCAATGAGGGAATCTGCATTGTCTCACTGCTCTTTGGCTCCACACTGATTTCCCTGCCACGCTCTGGCTCTGTGCTGGATCCTACACTGTTCCTTGGCTCCCTGCTGAGCCAGGGAGCAACTAGGGACCCTGTGTAGAGCCACTAGGGAGAGAAGCATGTGGCAGTGGGAGGAACAGGTGGTGTGGGGGGGCAAGTGGCTGGGGGCAAGCAGGAAGGGGGTTGTGTCTGTGTGGTGCGGAGAGGGCAGACACTAGGGGAGAAGGCACAGAGAGCTAGGGGTAGGGGTAGACGCCAGCACAGAATGGGGATGGGGAAGAAGTGGCATGGGGGCAAGGTAAAGCGGGGCAAAGGTCCAGGCTCAGGCTGCCTGCCCGGCTCCCTGCCCTTCACCTCTTCACTGCTTGCTCCCTGCTGTTGCTTTCCTTGCTGCAGTGGTGGGGGAGCAGGGGTGAATTTAAGATGAGCCTCCAATAATTAGATTCAATATGTGGAACATTATAAGAAATTTATAATTTTCCATGTATAGAATCTAACTGTGTGGGGGAGGGTCATCTTAAATTTGAAGTAATCTTGGATTTAGGGAAATATGGTACCTAACTTGTAAATAAACCACATGAAATGATTATTCATATACAACCTTAAGGAAAGACTCCATGATCCTGGACTTTCTCAAAGAGCAATCTGTTTTCAGATGCCACAGAGTTGTTACTGCCTTCACCAGAAACAGATACCAGCAAAACAGTGAAAAAGTGGGGAGGCAGAAGCCATGCTCTCTTTGTGTTGTATGTAAAACAAATGTATAAAATGTCTGTTTTAGTTCAGAATTTCTATATGCAATGTCCTCAGAAGAAAGAGCTTTGTAAGCGAATTCCTGCTCCACCCTCCTGTAGTTTAAAAGCTCCTTTTTCTAGTAATACCGGTTGTATTAACTCTGTAGTGAGGTGAGATGCTTAATGAGAATGTTAATCACTTATAAACCTTCCATTTCCTAGGTTTTTCATAGCATGCTATAACCTGAGCTTTGGGAACACACACAATACTGTATATAACTGTGCTGAATTTTCTTCCATGAATATAGAAATATTACTGGTCAACAAAAAACCTTTAATTTCTGATTAATTTTAATAGCAACAGCAAGGAACAATTAGATTAAGGCTGATGCCATTTGTTTTCCCTTATTCAACTACCCAATGGTTTATGTGTGTTTTAGAAATATGTCTGTAGGTAAACAGGGTAAAAACACTTAGTGGTATGTTGGCCCAAGATAGACTTTCTTACCCTGGTTTCATAAAAACTCTTCCAAAGTGAATCTGTGCGTGAAGGTCAATATCCAGCACCTGTTTAAGATAGTCCTGTTTAAATTAAAAAAAGAAAAAATGGTAGAATAACATCCAAGTATGTTACAGTTACATCAAAGTATTCAGAACTATCAAAGTCAAGTATAGTTTGAGATCCTGACAAATTTAAGATGTACTATAGCTTGTGAGGTATTTCCAGTATTGGAAGGGATAATTTTAGAAGGATGACTGGAAAAAAGCGGAATAAAGCAATTTTAGGCTCTGAACCTGCAGTTGATTCAATATAGGCATTGTGATTTATCCATACAAAGTCAGTTGCATGACAAGAATCTTGGAGATGTCTGTAAGACTCAGAGAAAATGTTAATGCCACATTGTGAAATCTAGCATGTACAGTCCAATGATTAACATATGAGTCAAAGCTAAGACTCAAAACCATCAAGTGCAGTTTCTTTTGAGACTACATTTAGCTACTGGTGGAGTTCAATGGCTAGTCAGTCTCTTTGAGAACAAGATTGCACAAAGAATTCAATCTCCCAATATGACATCAGTTCTTGTGATTTCTTGAGTACACTGTATAATTCACACCCATAGATCATAGTTGTCTAAATTTTCTGCAAAAGGAAAATACTAGTGAGTCCCCACTTCCTGTGCATAAGTTTAAATTACATACTTTGGATCAATCCATTAGTTCAAGAAATCCAAAATTCTTTGTGCACTCTCTGCTGAAAATAGTTGGGTTCAAGATGCTGCTGCTCTGGGACTTAGTTAACTTCTAATGTTCATCCTAGAAGAACTTATACTATTATCAGAAAAGTCCACATGGGAACATGGAATACTGAAACCATCAATGACAAGCCTCTGTAGAAACAATAGCCCCTGAAGTTCCCATCAGTTTTCTCATTTTCTCATCAGTCTATTATGTTCAAGTATTTGGAAAGCTACAACTTTTTCCTGCCATGAGACAATTTCTTGATTGATGGCTCCATTCAGTCCTCATTTTAATTGGCCATGTTTTGCATGCTCACAGGTATTTCATTTCCACCTCCAAAAGTCCAACATGAGACGATGGGATGCCTCAAGGAATTGGTAGTGAAATATGGAGCCTTTCACAGTTAGGAAGTTGCAGTATAGATAAGGATTGAACAAAGTTATTTGCATCCAAGGGATAGTTGATAGCTTTCATGAAAAAAAAGTGGTGGGCTCAGCCCATTCCTTGTGGCTATGTGTTTCCATCACTACACTTCCCCTTTGCAATACATGAATGAGCACTTTCCTTCTTAATCACTGCTCCAAGACCTGCAGAAGCTTAAAGGACTTGAACATCACTGGTTCTAATACAAGAAAATATTCATACTTTTCTCCTTTTTGTGAAACACCAGACCTTCACAATGTGGTTATACTCAGTAATGACACCATGGGGCTTTGTGTTTGTCATCTCTCAGTGACTATGGTTAAAACCTACTAAGCTATAAATAGAGAGATGTTTATTTTAAATGCCAAGCCTATGAATTCAACCAAGGATCAAAAAAATCATTCTCAGTTCTTTCCTTCCTGTATCTCATGAGCCATAAAAATTCTTCTGGTCCATTTACGCTCTTACATACCTTTTCCCCCATGGACACACCCCCTGATGTGATGATGACATCAGCACGGCTGATACCCTCATTCAGTGCATTCAGTAAATCATCTGGGCTGCAGGAAAATCAAAACAAACAGATTAGTGCCTAGAAAATATTTTTAGGTACCAGTATAAGGTAAAAAAATCAAACATATCATCATAGTAAAATATACTGGATGTCTTTTCTTTCCTAAGAGTCCATAACTGCTTTATTTAACTCAAGAGCATGTGATGAGGCATCACGCTAGTTGAGATAGGTCTGCCCCAGAGATCTATGACTGGAACCGAAGGATGTTTCAGATAGGGACTGAGAAGCACTATTAGTGATGTGTGAGGATGCAGCACAAACACAGTATGGGGCACTACAGATCAGGGCTGAGCTATACTCGTAGACCTGGCACAAGCAGGAACTGGCACTGGAAACTGCAAGTTAGTATTTAAGTACACTGGGACAGGTGTGGAAAGATTGCATAGTGTCTGTCTACACCATGCCAGACTCTGGTTCATACTGTTAGTCTTCCACTGTCATGAGCAATAAATCAATTAATAAACTAACGATAAGGTGTGAGTGATGCTTTTTTCAATTTTTTTTTCTAGTCATATACCAAAGTCAAGAAAGGGGGACTGTCACCACACAGAAAATAGACTGATAGAGTATCAAATACCAGCCCTCAAATCTGATGAGTACTCCAAGAACCTCTTCTGAAGTGGTGATTTAAGCTGCTGTAGAATGTAACCAATGGTAGATATACTGTAAGTAAGACTTGGTAACATGGTGCCACTTAACAACATATCTGATAAATCTCTTCCTTCTACTACACTGATAACTTTCTGAAGAATAAATGTTCATTGTTAAATACATTGGCGTACCGACAGGGTGGGGTGCAGGAGGGCCATGCCAGTTGGGTCCTCCACTGGGCACTTCTGGTTTTGCTGCCGGCATTTCCAGGTTCAGCGATTGGCTGCCAGAGGACCCCCTCCTCCCCCAACCACTTCAGCAATCTGCTGCTGAGAGCTCCCCCCCCACCCCCCCACTCAGCGATTGGCTGAGGACGGGGGGGAGAGGGGGGCAGATGCAAGCACTGGCCCCTGGGTGCCAAAGACCCACAGTACACCACTGGTTAAAATACCATCTTCAAATCTAAGTGATATGGATTAAAATAACTTTCAGATCACAAGCCATTTACCCTCTCCAAGCAGCAGAAATTTGTATGCCAAATGAGCCAGAGTTCTATTGCATACTGCACAATGTCCAATGGCCCACCAATCATTGCACCACACTGAAACATGGCCCATGCACTGGCCAAAGTAGTTCGCAGACATCAAGAGTGGTGGGAATTGGGGTTGGCACAAAAATGGTCAGAGGCTGCTCATAATACCTTCTGGTGCTAAGGCAGGGATGGGCAATTATTTTGGGTGGAGGGCTGCTTAATGAGTTTTGGTGAGCTGTCAAGTGCCGCATGCGTAGTTCCACCCCTTTACAGTTGCCCCACCCCCTTGTCCTCATCTTGAGACTGGAAGTCCCACCCCTAACCCCTGACCTTTGCCACTGGAAGTCCCTCCCTTGCCCCCCTGGAAATACTCCTTTTGGGAGGTGGGGGGGTTGCCATCTTAGAACCAGAAAAAAAAACAAATCATACGCTAAAAGTCAAACATCTACTATAACATATTTCAACTTTATTACAAAAAATATTTTTGTCATAATGTGTGTTTGCATAGTGTATATAGAGGTGACTGCATAATAACTCAAAATAAATTCTTAGTTTTGTATATTGCAGGGTGGATGTGGTGGGGTGTGTGGTGTCTGTGGATGTGTATGGTGGGGTGTGGGTGTGAGTGGGGGAGTTTGTGAGGGGGTGTGGCTGTGTGTGTGGGGGCACAGGGCATGTTGGGGGGTTGTATGTATGTGGGGGGTTGTGGAGGCAGTGAGTGGGTGTGGAAGCGAAGGTGGGGGCTGTGGGGACAGTGTCACAGACCGCAGGACTATGGCAAAGTTAATTTGTACATAAAAAGCTTTAGAAAAATGTTCTCTAATCCATCCATCCTATTTATGCAGAGTTCTCATTCAAGATTCCACAACACACACATTTGTGGCAATGCCCTGTCAGGTTCAATTAAAAAAAAAATACAAGGAAGTGGAAGCGAAGGTGGGGGCTGTGGGGACAGTGTCACAGACCGCAGGACTATGGCAAAGTTAATTTGTACATAAAAAGCTTTAGAAAAATGTTCTCTAATCCATCCATCCTATTTATGCAGAGTTCTCATTCAAGATTCCACAACACACACATTTGTGGCAATGCCCTGTCAGGTTCAATTAAAAAAAAAATACAAGGAAGGAAAGAAGAAAGAGAATTAATCAGCCAGAGCTGAAGCTTGACAAATTCAAATGGGAAATAAAAGTCACATTTTTTAACAGAAAGGGAAATTAACTGGAAAAACCTACCATGTGGTGGCAGAACTGTACAGAAGGATCTCTGTCACTTGTAACCTTACAAACTGGAAGGTGTTTCTAAAAGATGCACTTTAATTCACTTACAAATTGGGTTTCCTACAGGTGCAATCTTGGAGCCTGCTATAAAGGAGGTTTGACTAGATGATCACAACTGGTATAGAAATCTACAAGTCTATAATATACACAATGAGGGGCAGGGGGAAATCAGAGGCAAGAGAAAGGACAGAGGATGGAAGAACATAGAGAACAAACAGGTAGAGTGAGGTTATCAGAGAAGGGGGGCTGTGATGGAGAATAAGAAAAGGAAATGGAAAAATACTATTATTTGTATGGAAGTAATGCTTAGGAGCCCTAACCATGGACTAGGACTCCACTGTACTGAGAACAACAAATGATCACTGCCCCAGAGAGCTTAGGCAGAAAATAATTTCCAAAATCCATAAAGCACAACAACATCTTATGAAAACACTTGATGCCCATGGGTTTTGGAGATGCCCCATCCTTCCACTGCTCTTCCCATCTGTGGCCAGACAGGTTTTGCTATTCACAGTTCTATCTGTGGAGGCTGTTTGTCTAAGATACACAAGGGGAGCATCATCTCCTGTAGTATATTACATAGAGAGTCCACAATCCTACTGTTAATATATCAGACGTTTAGGGAGTGAGAGTTCCGTTAGTACTTTTCCACAAATTTCCCCCAGTGAGTGCGACAACACTGCAGTGCAAGCCCTGCTCAGGGATATGGCATTTTCTCTCTGGGGACATGCAAAGGGAAGTTTGTCTCCCAACTCACTGGAGGGGGAAAACATACTGGTTCATCTATATAGGGAGTCTGTGGAAGTGAAAGATAAAAATTGAGTGTGATTCTCATTTTTCAGTCTCTAATATACTGGGGATGTTTATTTTTTTGCAAACACTGACATTTTCATTTTGTAATACCGATCAGCTGTCTGAAGATAATGACTGACATTAGTCTTGATGCTATTACATGACTTGAGAGCAAGGGGTGGAGCTACTGAGTAACAGACTACATAACAGAGCCAAGGGAACCCTGCATAACTTTCAGATTTGTGAAGCCAAGCTACTTTATAATCAGTTTAGATCCACAGCATTTATATATGAGCTCTTTTAATAGAAAGTATTGCTCCCACACACACTGCAGGGAATAACCCTGAACCAACAGGGACTTGACTAATTTCTGGGATTCTGTGCAATGCTCCTTCAATATCATATTTTTTATTTGATACTCTACTAAGATGGGAATTGTGTTAGTTTTGGGGATGGGCTTGGAGATAGGAAATTTGGAAATTATACTCATGGACCAATGATTGATTACCCTCTTTGGATCTCAGAACTGGTTAGCTGCCTTAGTCTGAAGTCAGGCAGAACATAGGGCAGGGTGGCTGGCATCTAAGAGACTAACTGGTTCATAAAAGTATGAGCATGGGCAGATTCAGGATTTACTAAAGTAGAAGAGTGACATCACTCCCCAGACTGGGGGGTGGTGGTGGGATGGAGGTGTGTGGCTGGCAGGGGACATTGGGAGCTATGCAGGGAGCAGGCACAGGAGAGGCAGGGGGACCCATCTGCTGCTACCACCACTGCTGTCCCTGGCAGACCTGTGGGGTGGGGGGAGCCCCAGAGCCACTGTTGCCCTGCTCCAGCGATGGGCTATAAGGAGCAGCTGCAGGGGGTGCTGGACTTGGATGGGGACAATGGTGGTGGTATGCAGTTTCTTCTTCCTGGCACCTGCTCATGGCCCCTCCTTCCCACCTTGAGGTGTCCCCCATTGGCAAGGAACAGGTGCTAGAGGAAGGAACCTGTGTGTCGCTCCTATTGTTCTCTGCTGAACTGGCTTCCTGTACAGCTGCTCTCTGCAGCCTGTGGTTAGAATGGGGAAGAAGTGGCTCTGGGGATCCATACCATGCTTGCATCAGCTGGTGACAGCAGCAGCAGTGAGGGGCAGATTCCTCCTTCCAATGCCTGCAACCAGCCAGCGTGGGATGTGGGGTGGTGGGGGGAGAGGGGGAGCAGGGAGCAGACTCAGAAAGAGGAAACCCACCCACTGCTGCTGCCACTGTTGTCCCCTACCAAGTCT